AATGTAGTAGATCTTTATTCATTAGGTTTCTTTAAAGTTTTTTTTTTATAATAACTATAAAAGTATTTAAATGTAACTAATTGTTAAACTCTTTATTATAATAATTATAATTATTATGCATCCATTTAATAACTTCTTGAATTTCCTTAGTTTTTGTTTTTAATTTATAAGTAAACAAAAATTACAAACACAGATTGCTTATGGCTAATCAGTGGATCTGGTTTTTATGTAGTGGGTATGTATGTAGGTGATTTACATTAACATTTGCATTTTTATTAAAATTTGAGTATACAGCTTGGAAATGAGAGATTTGGGTTTATTCAAGTGAAACAAATTATTTTCTGCTAGTTAGTTAAATATGTATATATGTATGTATGTATATTTATGGATTTTTCTGTGGTTTTCGTGAATTTTCTATGGGTTCTTAAATGGTGTTTTTTTAATTCACCTTTTTACTAAAATATTGTTTTATTGAATTTAATATAATTGTATTTTCTGTTTTCTTTTCCTTCTTTAATTGTACTAACGAAGCAGATAATTTGTGTTTTATTTTATGTTGTTTTTTACTTTTTTCTTTTAACTAGTATTTTGCGCAACACATACTTGTAAATAAAATGATAACGCAGAAAAACAGAATTATTTATATTAAGAAGTTAGCGCAATTTAATTTAAATTAAACTAACTAACAATTTATTAGCAAATTACGTTTAACTATAAGAACTTTGTTTAAAATTTTGGTTTAGCTACGAAATGCAAAAAAAAATAATAAACTTAAGGATTGAAATGCAGGATTAAATATGCAACGTTTAGTCAGGTTGAGGACTGTCGAAATTTCATAGAAAATTTTAAAGTTTGAATAATTCTTCTATGGTGCTAAGTGAAAACAGCATGCCATATGAGGCCTTGAGAACAGAAGTGGCCTAACCCAAAAATGTATTTTTTTTTTGTACTTGCCTATTTAAAATAGTCTCAAATGTGAGCCATTTTAAAATTAATGTCGATTATTTCTTAATTTTAAGGTACAGAGCTGCATAACGTACCATAGCATTAAGGAACAAGCGACCTTTACTTCAAAATTTATTACATTTGAAACTATTTTAAGAAGTTAAGTACAAAAAAAATAAAAAATTGTGGGCTAGGCCACTTCTGTTCTCATGGCCTCATACATACATATATGGCAGGTAAGACATATTCCCAAACATAGACATATTCCAAACTCAACAAAGATTTTCACCCCTTTTGTGAGTGTCGATTAGAAGTATGTAAATTGTTTATTAAATGTTTAATTAGGGTTTTTATGTTTGCATTTAAAATTCGTAAATAAAGATGCTATTTAATTATAATATAATCATGTTTACATATACATATCTTACACGAAATTTGTTGAGAAAAAAATGAATTAAAAAAATCATCTTGAGAAAAAATTTCTTGACATAAACATAAATTTTGTATGGGTGAAACATGGAGAAAATTACTTATGAATTCTTCTTTAAACTGCTTTTAATAAAAATTCGCAAGAATATTTCATTAAATACTAATCAATTGAGGAAATAGAAAAAAATTGGAAAATTATACAATATTTAAATGGAACTCACCTGTAGAAGAGAACCCTATTTTACAAAATTAAAACCGGTCGACCCTATGGATTTTGACGTTCTTTTAAGCTTTCGCATTACATTTCTACATCTTTTTTCGATTACCATACATTACATTTTCCCGCTGGGTTGGTGTGATCACTGAGCGCAAAACCTTTAAGTCGCTGCTGGTTTCAAGATTGTTGGAATTGATATCTTTCTTACACGCGATTTTGGTTAACGGAAATGTTACAAAAATCTGCTCAATTTGATGATTTAGTCAATTTCTTAAATGACATATGCAACTCACATATATTTGCTCTTCCACTTCCAAAGGAGTTGATGAATCTTTCAACTTCTTCCTCGGTTTTACTTAGGCAGTGATCACACTATTTGTACAAATGCACAATGTGTACAGATTTGTACATTTGTACAGATTTGTACATTTTGACAGTAACAGAGTGGTGTTGTTTACAAACTTTTTATTGAGTCTGAACTCATTCTTGATGAAAATTTCTAGACAACACCACTCTGTGATTTTCAAATGGACAAATGTACAACTCTATTATTTTAGTTGAACCTCATCATTAGAGCTCGGATTTGTTGCAAAAAAATAAGCCTAAAAATATATGTCATCATAACCATAGGCAAAATACAGTCAGCGTCAAAAATATGAATACCCCGACGTACTGACGATTTCATTTATTTATATTTTCCATACCAACTTTTTCTTATTTTTTTATAAAAATATATTTCATTCAACAGCGAAAATCACAAGAATCATTTTTTATTTCATATGGAACTGGGGAAAAAATTTAAGAAATAAAAATAAACGCATGAAAATTTTTATTTTTTCAACTCGATTTCTTAAAAAATTTTGAGTATGTAATTTTTGAGAACTTTTTTGTCAAGGCTGTTGTGTATTTTCTTCCATATAAGAAACGAACAAAATATATATTTATATGGAAGAAAATGTGCAGCACCCGCGGCCAAAAAAATCTCAAAAATCAACGGTAATTTTTAGCTTGCACCTCTGTTTATACTAAAATTTAATGGGCTACAAAACCAAACATCTCCTATTTTTTTTGTGTGCGTCTTAATGTTATATTACAAATGGAATATTCGGGCGAGTTCGAGGTAAATAGAAACAAAAATGCAGGTCGAAAAAACAAAAATAAAAAGCGGGATATTTCAATTGTATAATTCTCATA